TACACCAAAGTACCTTACCCTGAGTAATCTTTTCTTAGTTTAGGCATAAACACTCAATGTTGATCTTTGTTGTAATTCTAAAGCTTTTTGATCCTTAACGTAATTTTAAACTCAATGTTGAGCCATCTTGATAACGTTATAATCCTCTCAGAAGTTCTCTTTTTTTTTTTAAGTCTTACCATTTACTTCTTACGTCACTGGTCTTCTTATCATCGTTGCCATTGGAGTATAATTTTCTCTAAATGCTTTAATGAACTCCTCCCAGGAGATCTCATTGTTCAACTACTTGCTAAATTGAATGCACTACTTTGTTGAGGGCTAGTACTCTGCATCTTTGACCAAAATGAAAGTTTTCAAAATCATCTGCTTTCCATGTCTTTGAAAGTCTGCTGAACTAAGGCTAGCTAGTTTTCTCACTCAAGTGGGGGTTTTCCCATGAACTAGGCTAGTTAGAACATTAAGAGTTTCTCGATCCATTGTTCTCCGAAAGCACTTGGGCCAACAAGTGTTGAAATTTGTTCCCATAAATTTCAACATCATTTTCATTATTTGAGTCATCAGCTCGGTTGTAATTTTGACAGGAGTGGCAGTCATAACTAAATGCATTGCTGTAATTGGTACAAACCTTCAATTCTCATTGTCTCTAGAGTCCCCATTTGTCTTAGTGTCATCACTTTACTCTTAGAAATTATGTTATTTGCCTTTCATTCTGTTTCTTTTCCCGTGAGTGCCATTGCAACAAAATCATTGTCAATTTCATGATATTATTAATGAACGATAATTGATCCAAGTCGACTTGCCTATTCTACCCAGACTCTCCCCCATGCAGACTACTGGTTATGAACCTAAATCCTAGGTTGATACTAAAATTATGACGAGCCATATCCAATTATCTTTTATTCGTGAGACCTGACTTGAGTGATTCGTTTGATGAACCTGTGAAGGCACCACTTATGACTCAAATTGAGCCGATTGACCTTTTAGGTAATTTGATCTTGATTGTGGCAATGTGCCGAAAGGAATCTGAGTAGTGAGCTTATAAAATTGAAGAGTAGATATTAAAGAAGAAGTAAATATTCTAATGATTAAACCAATAAGAAGATATTTAAGATAATACTAAGAAGTAAAGAAGCTAATAATTAAGAAATGAGTCTACTATAAAATTGTCCATAGAACCCCCCTGACAATTTAAATCTATTTTATATAAATTTGAAATAAAAAGGTCATTATACAAAGTACTAGAAGAGCTACTAGTGTGCCCTCTCTCTCTTGAGTCTTTCCTTGTCTCACCCACATCTTTATCCTTTCCGGCCATATCCGACTCGATACATGGAGGTAATTTAACAACAAACAATGAAATAAATTACTGGAAAGTAACTTAGTACATCAAAGTAACACTGTAAAGCTATTTAAAATCATCAAAATTTACTTGATTGACTGAAAGAAAGGATTTTAGCAGCACCCGAGAAATCCATTCGGTGACTTCTCAAAACAAATTAACATAATGTCAATCCTCTAGCGAATAGAAAACATGCATTCATGCAAATTCACCATAATCCATAATTGTTTGTTTAATTAGCACAATCATGCTTAATTCTTACTTCATATTAGCTTCCAATTGAAATCTCAAATCATGGCAAGCTTGTAGTCAAGATAATATTATTGGTATTAAAAGTGCTAGGTACCCGCAAGGGAATGTGATTGCTAATGCCAGCGGCCATAGACTTAGCCTAGGCGCTTTCTTGAAACAAGTGAGGTGTTAAAAATTTCACATATTTTAATTATGAGGGATATTTTTTTGGAGCGTATGGTGTGATAGTCATCACAACTGAATATTAAATGTAGTGCGTAAAAAAATTATTTTCAAGTGTTTTTTATTCTAAATTTCAAAATGTCAAAACCTTGCCAAATAGATGTTTATAACAAAGTGCCTACCAAGACTAAAAGTTATGCTTCCAGTTTAAAAAAGTAAATAAAAATCGGTGTTTCTCGCTTTCATAGCAATGGTTAATCTTGTCATCTTCTTCATCACCCATACTCTCTCCCCTGTTATGAGTTTGGTAACCCACCATCTTATATACGATCATGGATGCTTTAAAAACCAATTATGCATTTGTAGAAGCAAGCACTAGGGCGCTTAGTGCCTTACACCTAAGCATTTGTCTAGGCAGTGCTTTAGTGATGACACCCGACTAGGAGGTATTTGAGTTGTTAAGCCACATCTTGCATTGCTTGGTTGTCTAGGCGAGTGCCTTACATGCCTTTGATAACACTATCAATGATTAGGAATTATCTATTTAGTATTTATTAAGTTATTATATACAAGCTTTCTTTTTTTGATGGAGTTTATTTAGGTATATATTATATCAATCTTATTGTTGTTTCCTACGTCTTGTAGTTCTGCAGAAGAACAAGAAGAATACTCCTAATTAATTTTACTTCTTCCCTCTTCTCTTCCTCTAGCAAATATCCAGCGCATATGGACTGTTGCAGGAACCAAAGGCAAGAAGCCCCTTGCTGCTGATCTTCTGTTGCCTGGAGTTGCTGTTTATCTTTCCTGCCCTGCTGAAGCTTCTTTCACTACCTTTCTGAAATCTGCTGCTATTGCCATGCTAAAGTTGCTGCCTCACGTGCTGATTTTTCTTCTCAGCTGCTGAAGTCCAATGCTCATACAGGGGTTAAATTGAATTCTGCAGGAGAGGAAAAGAATATTGCAAGTCTGTTTTGTTGTAACAGCAAAAACAGAGCAACACAAGTTGAGAAATTCGGTTTAATGCTTAACCAAAGTGACACACTTTAAAAAAATTATTCTATATTGTTTATTAGGAATACTATTTGAGTGTAAAGTGATAATCATATCAATAAAATATTAAAATGTAGCAAAAAAAAGTATTTTCAAGTTTCAAAATTTAAATTTAAACTAGAAATAAAAATTTGAGATGGTAGCTTCTCTAGCATAAGAAAACATTCCTTGCTACTTTCTATTTCATCTTTCTCACCCATAGTCTCTTCCCCATTGAATTTGTAGTCTTCCATCTCATCATATAGCCATACACGCTTTTAAAATAATAATAATAATAATAATAATAATACTAATACACATAATAATAATTCTATCATAGAGTTAAATACTTGGGCTCCTTGTGTTTTACTTTAAGGCGTTCTTTAGACACCTTAGTTGGTATCTCACTGAGGGTTATTTGAGGTGTCGAACTTTTTCTTACCTTGTTTAGGCATTTTGATGCACTTAGCTCATCTTTGATAACACAAGATCACACACCGGCAAATTATCAGCATCAATGGTCGTTGCTTTGACAGTTTAGCTATGATGTCGATGTTCACATAGCATCAACATATATTAGCCTATCACACACCGCAGACATGTTCCTTCCTACACCTACTTCTTGCCTGTCACTTCCATTTCTTGAATTATATCAAGTTTTTGCATCAAAGAATGTAGAAACTAGTATATCAAATATATATTAAAAAAACTAGAAATGGAGGATTAATTTATAAAAATAAATGTTAAGATTTGAATCATGCATATTTTAGATCGAGTTTTAGAAAAAAACAAACATTACCCGAAAGAGTTACTAACTATGGGTTTGGAGATCATCCACTTGTTAAAAGCACAAAGAGTGGGTGAAGTTGTGGCTTAAGCTTCTAGGCTTATTTTTTTTATCAACAAGTTTTCCTATCAACGCCCATCACTCAACTTCAGCAGCTCCTGCAAGGATTTTTCTATAGGTTTTGTAGTTAGAAACGTTTGTAGGATTTCCTGGCGGCTCTCAACAACTAGTTTCAGATATGATAGAGTATAGTGGGGGAAGAATTTGTCATACCAGACACTTTAAGGGCTTTTGTTGGGAATTTATAATGGTTATTGACAAACTCTGTTTTAGATGGCTTATTAGAGAGGGATCAATTAAGATTCATAGACACATCTCTAGAAAGAGGAAAAATGCTGGACATTTGAATTTGTTTTATTCAAATTGGGGGAAGGTCAGCTCACTCCAGTTCGGTAAGTTGAAATCAATTTGGCAAGTCATTCTGAGAAAATTTTCAAATCAGTTTGGGTAGAAGTCAACCTGTTACCCTATCTGAATGGAGGAAACACATCATAAGACTACTCAAAATTATATGAAAACTTTTTGGCTGTATGATCAACTACTCGTTAACTTCGAAAATGTTATAAGAATGACCAGCCAAACTCCTGGGTAAACTTTCGAGACTTTTGCTTTTAAATTGCCTAAGGGCACATTGGCAAATCTACTGGGCTTAAATTTAGGCTGTGAAATAAAATGTCCAATAACTCTTCAAATCTTAATATGTATCTCATTTGGAACGAAGGCTTTATTCTTTTGCATCTTTTTATAGTTAGCTTTATTTTATATTTTGATTAATCTATAATCTATCTCATTATTTTGTTTATTATACTCTTCTAAAATAATTTTTTTTCCTAAAATTGTTATTCAATAATTTATCAAGTAGCATTTATGTCTTTGTTCCTATCATCGTTAATTAAAATTTGGTGTCCTCGCTTCTAATATGTCTGAATTGAGCAACGTCTCTAGAATTTTTTTTCTTTTACCTCTAATATTTATCTTTTGTCATTTTTAATAGTTTCTACTTTCCAAATGTCGAACAATCATGAGTACAATTGATGTGGATGATTAATGAACTAGAATTTATAAAGATTAAGACATAAAGCCTCCGCGCCTGGTTGGAATAAAAGTTTGCATTTATTTATGAACTTTAGACCATTATTTCGGAAAATAATTATTTGTTGATATCATAACAAAAATGATCCACTGAATGATAAGTATGATAAAACAACTTATGAGCAGATAAAACTGCACAGTGATCTTGTAAATTGATTACTATTTAGTGCTATTTTTGCAAGCGGGATTGATAATTATGCCTAAAACTCAATTGCCTTAATTAATTGAACTTTGGATGTAGTTAGAAATTGATCGACTTGTTAACGTGGGAGCTGACGTGGGAGCTTTCTTCCCCTAATTCTTGCCTAGTTTATCTCCTAATCTCTCCTATAACGTGGGAGCTTTTCATCCTACGGTCCTGTAGCAGCTACAGTAACCATGGATTCTTCTTGCCTTTTTAGCTTCCCTCCCTCTCCTTTTCACTCTCTTCCATAAAGAATCTTCTCCTTATTCATAGCCTACCTTATCTACCACCTTCCACTTCTATCCTATTTCAAATTCTTTCCTTTTTCATCCCACCCCCTCTTTAATTCTTGCCTAGTTTATCTCCTAATCTCTCCTATTTATAGGTGTTGTTTTCTGAAAACTAGACAATTTTTGGATGAGTGTAAAATTCTGAGTTATGCCTTTGAGGCTTTCTTCCCCTTTGGGGGCTGTACTCTAAGACAAGAAAGTACTTTGGTTGTAATCCGTCCGAGTTAGTGACCATCTCCAATGGTTCGGGTGGTGTTCCGGCTGTAGCTCGATCTCGACGAGACATTTATTTTTCCGCAACCCCCTTCGACTCTACCTCCAGCAACTACCAACCATTTCTAGGCCTCCGATCTACTGCCCAGCCACCGTCCACAACTCCTACTTGCTGCTGCTCACCTCGGTGCTCCCCAAAACAGGTTGTCCACTCCTTGTTTTCCCCCGCCACCACCCCTAAGTCTGTGTCCATCTGCTGCCATCACCCTCACAACACCTCGCCGGCTGTTGTACCCTCATTCCAACCTCTTGTTGTGCTCGTCTCCTCCAACCAATCCCTCGACCTGCTACCCAGTCGCCGTCCACTACCCTCACTACCACCCTAGGGTGTCTTCCATATTTATATTATTGTTATTATCCTATTATCAAGAGTTGGTGTTTGTAGTTCTTTTGAATTTCTGAAATAAAATTATCATTTTCTATTATGGTTTGACCCTTTTTCTCTGTATCACTTATGGTCTTCTTATGAGATAAATCTTGGTTTTTAAGCTGAATTGTTATTCTCCTATTATCAAGAGTTGGTGTTTGCAGTCCTTTTGAATTTCTACAATAAAATTATCATTTTCTATTATGGTTTGACTCTTTTTCTCTGTATCACTTATAGTCTTCTTATGAGATAAATCTTGGTTTTTAAGCTGAATTCAAGTCTAGTGTAACTTGCTTGAAATAAAATAAATTAAAATTTTTCTTTCCTCGACACGCGTTCTCTTTCATAAATATGTGGATGTATGCTTAATATTCATTACGCATGCTTGCATAAATTAATTCATATGTATTTCCTAATGGAAATCAATAACTTCATTTGTATCAATGAATGCTGAGCCCAACCTGGGTTTTTAGTAGGGTCTTGGCCAATTTGAGCTTGTTACTTCATTATTAAGTGACTAGAAAACTAATCTAACTCAAATTGAGTTTGACTTGAGATGTGCAGGGTTTGGGTTGTTGGAACTAAAAAAACGGTATATTTGAGTCTAGTCAGATAGAAGTAATCAATCTTGATTTCAAGTTTGGGCCAACTAGCTTGAACTTGAGTTGTTAGCCCTCATCGTGAAAGAATATCTTTTGAGCAAATCAACTTTGTTTACTATATGTTAGGGTATAGGCCATATAACATTATATATAGAATATTATTTTTATGGAATAACTCGAGTAATTCCCTTGTCCTTCTAAATAGGTACAAACTGCACAAAAGTTGATGACCTAGCTATAGGATATGCCACCCCCTGGCAAAGCAATGAAACGCACATGGGTGTCTTCTTTGATTGAAGGACCTCTCTGCCAGATTTTTGCATAAAATATGCATCCAATTCTGTTGTGGTAGTGACCATTCTTAAGTTGGTTAGGTGTTTTTTTTTTCCTTCTAAATTTCTTTGAAAATGTACCTCTGCGAAATTTTATCATTACTTATACTAGCATGTATATGTTCGTATTATTTCAGGGATATGCTCAGAAAACAGTTTTGAGTTTGAATTTTAACATTTTCCAGTACCATTACTCTAAATATATGGCTCTTTTTGTTTAATTTTCAATGAACATTGAAATTTTTTTGGCTTACTGTCTAAAATCCTTTCTTTGATTATTAAAACATCCTTTATTATGATTTTTGTAATGGAATTGCATTGTCAGATGAGGCTTGACTGATTTTTTCTGTGATTTGCCAGTTATGCCAACTGTCTCATATTTTCAACCTTTTTATATTGCAATCATTTGGTAATAGAAGCTACGTTCAGGGAAGCTTGCCCTTTCAATTTTCGGATGAATTTATTTTGTTTATTATATAATATAATAGTGTCTGCTACAACTTTTCTTGGGTTTCATTTTAACTATCTACTATTTCAGTCCAGACATAAATGAATTGGAGCTGAAGCTTTCTGAGCATTCAAAAAAGCTGTCAAGTCTACAGCTGATGGTGCAGGAGTTGGCTTCAAAGGTTTCTTGAACAACTTGTCTAGTCTAGCATATGGAAAAATAAGCGTAGAACAGAATTCCTGCATTATATTGCTGTTCGTACATGTATCTTGTTACTATCTTTCAGTAGTCATCCATTAACTATTTGTTCAAAAGCTAGTTTTTGTATTGTTTAAGCAATCCCTGAAAATTTACTATTTTCCGTGCACCCAATTTATCCTTAATTTACTTCAAAAAATCTAGCAGAAAATTACTGTATATTTTAAAGCAACCTTCTGCATGATTTTGACACATTTTGTCTGAACAACCTCCATTTTATCACCAACTCTCCATCCCGATTGTTCCTTAATTTTTCTGCACTGGACAACTTTTCACTTCTTACTATTTATTTAACATACAAAGCATTCAACTAGAGTGTAGTTCATAGATCCATCCTAAAGAGTTATTGGTCTAGTATTTAAAGGATTATTTTTTATATAGTTTTTCTCAGTCCTAGAATGAAGGAGATAATAAGCTATTGTAATATTAGGACTACAACATCATTCTTGATTCCTAGAATACTATAGGATTCTAGTGATGTGTATTTTATGCATGTAGTGAGCCTTTCAAATAAGTTGTATAAAAAGTTTTAGGGAGGAATTTGGTGTTCCTCAGGATGAGTAGAGGGATAGTGTTGTGCTGAATTGGTAGAATGAAAATAGATTAGACTAGCAACCTTGCCGTCTTTCTCCTTTAATGGCTCTTTGACTCATTGTCATACTCTTAATTTTGGTTTAGTTGTTACACTTGTTTATGTTTATCCTTGTGAACCCTAATGTCACTCGACCCCCTCCATTAGTTGACTCAGGATATAACAGAGGAGGGTGTGATTTAGCTAACTGAATACACCATCAACACCTATTATGATATCATACTCTCACCGATATAGAGTGGAGATACACTAATCACCTAAATTCATCCAGAATAATGTAATATACCATGCTCCAATTTACAAATTCAATATACTCAACAATTTCAAAATTAAGCAAAAATAATATAAAATAGATCAATTAAATTAATCTGCAAAACATCTACAATACACTATTTTTTAAGAAAAAACATAAACTTTTTCGATCAACTTACTTCAAAATTTATTTATTTTATGATAATTGCACAATAAAATATGATCATAAAATAAGCATGATTTTACTTTTTATCAATATTTTTTTTTCCTGTAATAAATAGTTATAACAATTTAATGAGGTAAATGGCTAAAGAAAATAAATAAAAATAATGCAGAGCTTAAATATTGAAGAACATCAAATAATGTGTCAATTAATCACAAATAAACAAAATCATAATATGATCACTGGTTACATGATATGTACATTATTAAACTAGTGAATACATGAAATTTATAATAAAATATTTGTACTAGGAGATGTAATATAATTGCACATATTATTTACATTCATCAAATCTTTTTTTTGCTTATTTATTTTCCCTTGTCTTATATTTAATTTTAGCTTCGGACTGTGTTATGTACGGTCATCTAGGTTATTAGCATCATAAACTCAGCCAGACGGCTATATCATCACGTTCAATAGAGCCTAGGTGATACCCAATATTATCGCCATTGGACTATATTGAGGATTCTCTTGATTCTATATGGATTTCTTTTTGCCTCATCGGGGATCCTTTTGCCCCACTTGTGTAGGTATCGTAACCATAACTTTATTAATTTGTTTACTCATAACATGATATTTCCTTAAACATGTTATTCCTTTATAATGTGATAAATAATAATATATGCAAATAAGCAACATGCATATATCAGATACTTTCTTTTAATAGTATCCCCAACCAACAAAATATTTATATAATTAAAATGCATTTAATTTTGAGTTTCTATCAACCAAATTTTTATGTTATTCCAGATTAATGGGTGAGGAAGGCCAGCGGCTGTCTGCTAAGACGGAAAGGGATTTAGTGGTTGTCGGATGGATTCAGAGGAGGGAGATGTGGATAGTTGTAGGGATACTCACCACCTTAGAACAGGAAACAACAGGTGCACCACCTTTCATCAGATATAACCCTAGCAAGGGAAAACACCTTGGAGGCCTCAAATTTGAAATCAGAACTAAAAACTAAATGCTAACTCAACCAACAAAATATTTATGTTAGTGTAAAAAGGAGAAAGGGGGGCGGGAAGGCGGTTGTTCCCACCTATTTAGTAGCCGGCCGATCGAGCCTCATGCTGGACCGACACTCCACTTGTTGAACCTCCTTGCTCAACCTAACTCTGTGTCAGTCTCCCGGGTTGGGGGAGATTCAACTTCATTCGTTGAAGCTTCTTGGTCATCGTTGTATGGTGTAGGTCCGCGACATTAAATGTTGTGAAAACATTGCAGTCCCTTGGCCAGTTGATCTTGGTGTTGTTATTTAGCTTCCGAAGTATTTGAAAGGTTCGTCTACTCTGAGCTTGAATTTTTTAAATGCTCGCATTAAGAGTTTCTCTTTCTTCAACCAGACCCACACTAGGTCTCCTTGAAATGTCACTTTTTTCCTCGTATTGTTCACCTATGCCTGGTGCTTCAAATGCTCGCATTAAGAGTCTCTCTTTCTTCAACCAGACCCACACTGGGTCTCCTTCTTGAAATGTCACTTTTTTCCTCGTATTGTTCACCTATGCCTGGTGCTTTTGATTTTGCTTAGTTATCTCTTTTCTAACCTCCTTATTGAGCTTTTGAATCTCGTATACCCCTTTCTCGGCATTTATTTGATGTCGGCAGGAGTGGTATCAATTCCAGTGGAGTGAGCGGGTTGCGTCCGCACACAATCTCAAATGGGGTGTACCTTGTAGTGTGACTCACTGATCTGTTGTAAGCAAATAAAGCTCGAGCTACAATCATATCCAACTGCTTAATGTTTTTCTAACAAAGCATCTCAGTAGATTTTCAAGGATCCTGCACACTATCTTCATCTGTCCGTCCGTCTGTGGAAGAGCCACGGAACTGAATTGAATCTTAGTGCCTAGTTTTCTCCACTCTAACAAAGCATCTCAGTAGATTTTCAAGGCTCCGGCACACTACCTTCATCTGTCCGTCCGTCTGTGGAAGTGCCACAGAACTGAATTGAATCTTAGTGCCTAGTTTTCTCCACGGGGTCCTCCAAAAATGACTCAGAAACTTGACATCTGTGTCTGAAGTGATGGTCTTTAGTATCTCGTGCAACCTCATAATTTCTTTGAAGTTCAATTCAGAGGCATGCGACACATGCATTGTCTAGTGGCATGGTACAAAATATGCCATCTTCGAGAATCTATCCATCAGGACCATTACTGAATCTTTGTTCCACTGTGTCCTCGGAAGACCCACAACAAAATTCATGCTAATATCCACCTGCAACACCTCTGGTACTGGTAATGGGTGGTATAGCCTTGTATCTAGTCCCCTGGTTTTTGCCATAAGACAAATCCGACATTGTTTGATGTGTTGCTCCACATCTTTCGCTAGTAGGGGCCAAAGAAGTGTTCTCTCACTACTGCAAGAGTTTTGTTACTGCCAAAATGCCCTGCAGGTCCTCCGCCATAGCTTCCCTGACTAATGGATTCCCTCAACAAACATCTAGGAATGCACAACTTGATATGGTAGTACTGTCCGGTAGGTTTCCCGTGACATTGCTGCTAGCTTTTTCTGAAATCCTCGTCTGTCTACATAATTCCTTTACTACCTCAAAGCTTACAACCTGAGCCTGCATCGTGGTGATCAACAAGTGATGGCGACTCAGTGCATCTGCTACGCGGTTTTGACTACTCGCCTTGTGCTTAAGAACGAAGTAGAATGACGCTAAGAACTTTACCTAAGTTGTATGTTGACCCCCTTTAGTTTACTTTGGTTGTTAAAAAATTTTAAGGTCTCGTTGCTCGTGAGTAACGTGAACTCGTTCCTCAGTAGGTAATGACTCCAGTGTTCAAGAGCTCTCATAATAGCATAGAACTCTTTGTCGTACGTTGAGTATTTTCTCTTGGACTCATTCAACTTCTCACTAAAAAAGGCTTTTAGGTGACCCCTTGACTCAACACTTCTATCCTAATGTCGGATGCATTGTACTCAAACAGCTGATTGAATTCTGGTAAAGTCAAGACTAATGCCCCAGTCATCTTTTCCATCAGTGCGTCGAAACTATTTTGCCTATCCTAATGTCGGATGCATTGTACTCAAACAACTGATTGAATTCTGGTAAGGTCAAGTCTAATGCCCGAGTCATCTTTTCCATCAGTGCGTCGAAACTATTTTGAGATGCATCTGTTCATTGGAATTTCTCCCCCTTCAAAAGCTCTGTCAGGGGAGCAGTGACAGTTTTGAAACTTCAGACGAATTGCTTGTAAAATGATGCTAGTACTAAAAACTTTCTCAGCTCGGTGAAAGATTGCAGTGTGGTCTAGCTTACAATGGCCTCGATCTTTGTAGGGTTCGTCTGAATGCCTGCACTAAACACAATATATTTCAAAAAACATACCCGGGTTGTCATAAAATGACGCTTCCTTGTATGGTCATATAGCTTTTCTGCTCGCAACACCTCAGATATCGTCCTCAGGTATTATACGTGCTTCTCTTCAAATCAGTTGTATACCAGAATGTCGTTGAAGTAGACCACAAATTTTCCATTGTGGGCCAGAAACACCTGATTTATCAATCTCATAAATGTGCTCGGCGCGTTAAATAATCCGAAGGGCATAATTGTTTACTCATATAAGTCATCTCGTGTCTTGAAAAAGGTCTTCCACTCGTCCTCTGGTTTGATTCGAATTTGGTGGTACCCAATATGTAAGTTGATCATGAAAAAGAGGGTGGATCCATGCAACTGATCCAAGAGATCATCTAAGCGAGGTATGGGGAATCTGTACTTGATAGTAATCTTGTTGATGACCCTGCTATCAATAGACATTCGCCACGAATCGTCCTTCTTGGGTACCATCAGGGCGGGGAAAGCACATGGATTAATACTCTCTCTGACCAACACTCGCGACGAGATTCTGTT